TTCCTAGCTCAAAATGGGGAAAATATCACCCGATTTTATTTGAATCAAACTCAAGTCTTTTGCTGAACGACATTGACTATAAATGAGAATATTTAGTGTTCCCGAACATGCATTCTGATCCAAAAGCTGTGTTTTATTCAATGTTTAATAGCTTTAAAGATTGCACTTCTTGACGATTTTCCCTCTTTTAACAAACATTTGTGTTTGTTGCATAAATGGTGCATAAATAGTCCTTGCCCTCGAAGAGGCTGAAAGTTTGGTGAGAACATAGACACATCGTTTGTTGTATTTCTGGTCATACTGAGTCTATTATCACTTTTAGTCTAATATTCTCAGTAATCAGAGCTTTGACTTCATGTTTCTGATTCTTTGAGTAACGTTCTTTCATTTTTCTTCCCAAACCATTAGAAATCAACTCCTCATGTGAGCCTGTGTTTAGTGTTCAGCATTCTCCTAAACACTTTCAACCAGAAGCCTGGTGAACAGTTCCAAAATCCAAGTAAACCTTTGTACACATGCTGTAGAACCTCACCCCTCACTTCCCCAGCCAGTCATAACGGCCCAACCAGAAATTTTCTGAGAAAGAACATATCAATCCTGGGGCGGGCCCGGTGGTGCAGCGGTTAAGTTCTGACATTCTGCTTCTCAGTGGCCTGGGGTTCGCCGGTTCAGATCCTGGGTGCGGACATGGCATCGCTTGGCAAAAGCCATGCTTTGGTAGGTGTCCCACATATAAAGTAGAGGAAGATGGGCATGGATGTTAGCTCAGGGATGGTCTTCCTCAGCAAAAAGAGGAGGATTGGCAGTAGTTAGCTCAGGGCTAATCTTCCTAAAAAAGAAAAAGAACGTATCAATCCTTCCCTCCCCCAAGTATCAAAACTAACCCCTTGGGGCCAGCCCTGTGGAGTTGTGGTTAGGTTCGGCATGCTCCATTTTGGTGGCCCGGGTTCATGGGTTCGGATCCCAGGTGTGGGCCTACACCACTCATCAGCCATGTTGTGGCAGTGACCCACATACAAAACAGAGGAAGATTGGCAACAGACGTTAGCTCAGGGTGAATCTTCCCCAGCAAACAAAAAGCAAAAACAAAACAAAATTAACTCTCTACTACGTGTCTATTTCTTCTCTTCCTCTTCCTCCCCTCCTCTTCCATCTTCTCCCCTCCTCCTCCTCCTCCCCCTTCTGCCTTCCTCCTCTCCCTCCCCTCCTCCTTCTTTCTCTCTCTCCTTCTTTTTGGCTCTTCTTCCCTCACTCTTCTCCCAAATGAGTTTTGCCATTTAGTGTTTCCCACATGTTTTCCTCTCCCCATCCTTGCCCCATTTGATCACAGGAAATGCAAGAACAGGCTGAAAGCCACAGGGTGCTTGCAAAAGACCTTCATGAGGATTCAGTTGGTTTCTCATCTTGTTCAGAAGAGGTTAATCTAGGAGAAACTTTACTCCCTTCCAAGACAGTGTGACCCGCATCTGCTGAGGTCTGTGGCAGACAGTTTGACTTGAATTTGATTTTGCTTTTTGGCATCTTCTTCAGAATCTCTTCAATCTCTGAAGTGGTGTTTAAAAATGCTAAGGCCTGGGCATGGCTAATTGTGTTTCAATTAAAAATATGATGTAATCCGATGTTATACTGGACACAAAAGTGAGAAGGAAATGTCCTTGCATGCCATCTTACTTCATTCACCAACCAAGCTAAAGTTTGGCAACACAAGAAAATGTATTCTCTTGGCACTGTGTCTACCACATGTTTCTTAGAACATATCTTTTGGGGTGCCCACATTTCAGTCAGTTAATTTACATAAACAGCACCTGGCTGGCCCCACCCCACCACCACAGCTGTGTCAGAGCAGGTTGGACCTTGTTTAACCTCATGCTGAATCAACAGATCAATCAGTTATTTCCTGATACAAGAGATTTCACTATACCATTAAGATAATAAGCATAGATTATTTGGTGGTTACTGTTTATTTTTATTTTCCAAGTTAGATGATGTAACACCTTGATAAAGTTATCTATTATTGACTTAGGAGAGAAAATTTTGAATGGGATTCAAACCAAGAGAAAGAGAGGGAAGAGAAAGAAGAAAGGGAAGACAAGGGGTAAAACGGAGAGGTTAAAGATGAAGCACATGATTTTCATGTGTGTTAAGGGGAATGTGGCAAAAAACAGCTACAGTGAATAAGATAGGAGCAAGCCAAAACTTCCTTGATACCAACTGTGTCTTTAGCAGCAAAAATATGTTTCTTTTTTATTCTGATTAAGCACAGATGAATCCTTCTTAATATGCACTTGAAATAGCTGAATAGGCCAAATACAAAAGAAATCAACACACCTGCACCATAACGTAGAGGAGAAAACATTTAAGAACCTATGTGCAACCTCGTTTGTCGAAGCCCCATGCCTTCCTCCCTCCTCTGCAAGCCTGGTGTAAACCAGGTTCTGCAGCCGCCTACCTCCATCTCTAAAACAGAGGGAGCGATTTTGAGCACAAGCTTATTTTTCAGATCTGCTTTTTCTTGCGTGATTTACGGCAGAGAGTTGACTATTTTCTTGTGAACTCTGAGAATGAACTCTTTAGGAGAAATTCGATCTTTCCCACCTTTTCTTGCATGTCCTCTAGGAAATGATTGAAACAGGCAAATAGCCATTGAGGATCAAGCATCTAGGTACTAAAGTTTTTTTCCTTTCTGCAATTACTGATTATAGCTTTTAGCTGTTTAACCCACCCATTGTTACCTGTGCTGTTCAGGCAATACGCTATCTGACTCCACTAGGCTCCTATAGATAACATCTCCCTGGAGCCTGGGTCACCATGGTAACGGGTGTGTGAGCTGTTTTTCAGGAATTAGAACTCCTTGTCCACTTCAGGCGGGTTGAGACCACCAGCTCATTAACTGGGTCCATGCAGATGTCCAATAGGCAACACTTTGACATCAAGTGGCTAAAAACTCCACCCTCAGATCAGGCTAACGCCGCCATTTTATGAACATGGGTCCTATGAAGAGCCATGAAGTCTGACTACGCTTGCGCAGATCATCAATTACCTCACCTCTCCTCACCTCCAATCACCTCTCCTCACCTCCAATCACCTCTCTCCACATTTCAGACCACCTTGCTCCCTATCCCATAAATATCTCTGAGTCCCTATTTTCGGGGAAGCAAATTTGAGGCTTGTGCCTTGCTTCCTCACGTGGCTGCCTTGTGAGTAAACCCTCTCTCTGCTGCAATCTCGTCATCTCAGTGTTTGGTTTTCTGGGCGGCGGGCAAAAACAAACCTGGTTCGGTAACATGATGAATCAGACTGTTTTTTCCTGCCTTCATGAGCTGTTAGATGGGGTGTGCTCATGGTAAATAATATCAGCATCAAGTGAAGTGGCATTAGGAAGGTAAATCGTTTGCCCAATTTATATCTTTAATAGTTTTGATTTTCGTCTCATTTTATCCGAACCCTTGAGTAATCCTTTAAATCTTTGAACAAATTTACAATAACTATTTTACATCCCTTGTTAACTAACTCCGTCATTTCAGTCGTTTTTGGTTAGTCTATGATTTTTCTTCTGGTTGTGGGCCAGAATTTGCTACTTTTTTGCAAATCTAGTAACTTTCAATTGGAGGCTGGACTTTATAAATATTATCTCGTTGAGGGTTGAGATTTTGTTGTCCTCTTTTGAAAAGTGTTGAAATTTGTTTTGGTGGGCAATTAATTTGCTTGCACATCATCTTGGCTCTTTGGAGCCTTGGCTTGAAGCTTCATTACAGTGGGTCTATATTCTATTGCCCTTATTCTATGGCCAATGCAGCCCTATTACTTCTCAGATCTCCTTTGATGGCCCCAAATGTTCAAAACAGTCTCTCTGCCCTGGGTGGATGGAATTCAAATGTCCCCAAGTCCTGCGCGAACTCTTTAGTCTTTGTGCTTTGCCTGGTCTTGTGGAATTGATCCTATGCACACATAGCAGAACATTCAGCCAGGGACCCAGGGGGATCCTTGTGAAAGTTTCTGGAGCTCTATCCCTGTGTAGCTTGCTCCCCTACAATTTTCTGCCTGGAAATTCCAGCCACTTCAGCCCCACCAAACTAGAATTTCTGGCTCCTCATGCTAGTGAAATTAGCATGCACCATTTGAATTTCCTCTTCCTTTGTTGTGATTTAAAAATTCCCACCAGGTAGGGTTGCAGGATTTAACAAATGAAAATCCAGTGTCGCATTTTTATGCATACTGATACTAAAAAATTACTCATTATGTATCTGAAATTCAAATTTAACTAGACATTCGCTATTTTATCTGGCAACCCTAGTTCCATGCAAAAAGCCAGGAAAATTGTGGGGCTCACTTCAATTGTTTTTCTTCTCTTGGGAATCATGATGTTGAATATACTGTGGTCCCAGTGTCTGAAACCGTCTGTTTCATATATGTTGTCCAGTTTTCTAGTTGTTTACAGTGGGCAGGCAATTCTGTACCAGTTACTCCTTCTTGGCTAGAAATGGAAGTCCATAGTGCATCTTTAATGCAAGCAAACAAATAGGACAACTGCCCTATCTGGAATTGTTCAGGGGAATCGTTAAGAAACAGCAGTTAGGGGCCGGCCGCGTGGCACAGCGGTTAAGTGTGCACGTTCTGCTTCTCGGCTGCCCAGGGTTCACCGGTTCGGATCTTGGGGGCGGACATGGCACTGCTTGGCAAGCCATGCTGTGGTAGTCATCCCACATATAAAGTAGAGAAAGATGGGCACATTGATGGGAACAGATGTTAGCTCAGGGCCAGTATTCCTCAGCAAAAAGAGGAGGATTGGCAGTAGTTAGCTCAGGGCTAATCTTCCTCAAAAAAAGAAAGAAAGAAAGAAAGAAAGAAATAGCAGTTAAATGTGTCACTTCTCTGCATACTGGAGTATGCTCCATAGAGTTGCTCATGTGAGAAAGAGCTTGATTATAATTCAAATCATCTGCCTGCCATTCAAAGTTCTGATTTGAAATAACTGTTTCTTTTCTGCTTTCTGGTCTCCACAGGCTTTAAATTTACCTCAGCTTCATCTACTCTAGACAATGTCAACCTATCTCTTTGGGAAGTCACAAGGATCCTGCAAGGTGAATTCCAGGTATTTCACACATCCTGTGCTGTAGAAAGAGCACTTCAAAAATACCCTCCAATGCCCGATGCAGGCATCTTCACATAAGAGAGCTCATTTTATTTACATAGATTATTATAACAATGATTCTCACCTCTTGGGGAGTTCTAAGAGATAGTATTCATCAAACAAGAGTTACAAGGCGTGGTAGAAAGAACCTGTGCCTTGTGAGGATGAGAGGGCAACCAATATTTACTGAGTATTTACTATATGTCGAGTATTTCCATTCAGTGGTGTACTGGGGCCAGTCTGTGCCAGCTCATATGGGCTTGTGAGAGGCAATTGTTAAATTTTCAGGAATCTTGCCAGCCATTTTTGAAACTGTTGGAAGCTCGAAATTGACAACAGGAAGAATATTTATACCATGGAAATCATCAGATGCTACAAATCCTGGCTCCTCCATCAACTCCAAGAGCTGATTGTTAAGCATTTACCAGCACATCACTGCAATCACATTTTTTTTTCATTTTATTTTATCTTCCAAACAACTCTGTAAGGTATTTATTAGGATGCAAAGTTTAAAGATGGACAAAAGACTCAGATTACCCAAGTAATATGTCCAAATTTCCACAGAGAACAAGGAAAAAACCAATTCTGTGTAACTCTGTGTCCTTTCTACTTGTGTTCCTATACCTCTGATCGAGGAGACTTAAACAGACTTATTGCCATAACACTAACTGACTGCATGATCTTGGACCAATACCTGACCACTCTGGGTCATCATTTGTTCATCTGCAAAGTTGGGAGCACTGAGCTACTTAACATCCAAAGCCTCTTTTGGATGTAATGGTCTATGTTGTCCGCTAATTGGATCTCTGCTCATCTATGGCAGCAACGCTAAGAATGAGCCCCTACAAGGTGGATGCTAGAAAATGGGGTTTGTACCACTGGGGGCTTCCTGGGCCTTAAAGCTATGATACTACCAGATTTTCTTTGCTCAAATGTCCACCATCAAGGAGATGGAAGAGAGGAAATGTGTGTGCCAGGTGAATTTGTTGTAATTTTTTAGCTGTAAAGTTAGCTGGCTTGTTTTCTCAGCCTTTGATTGAGAGTTATCCACCAGCACCCTCTGGTCCCAGCAGGAGGACCGAGACTTTGTGCTATTGGTGGGCTTATCCCTGAGGACAACTGTGTAGATCTTTGTTTTCAAGGGATTCATTAAGGAGATTAAAAGTGTGAAAAAATGAAGGAAGAGTACTTCAAAGGTAGAAGAGGAGAAGAATCCCATTTTAGAAGATGGATATATTGCTAAAAACTGGGGAAGGACTGCAGGTTTGAAGGGCTCACAAGACTCAGTTTATGGGATGTTCATGGGAAGGACTGCCGGGATGCCTGCATGAGGCACTAAGAGCCTTGGGCTTAGGGCTCCAGCACAGTTTCCAATATTGGGGCACCAAGAGAGCAGAGCCTTTATAACAACTGCTAGCCTTTGAATGAACCGAGAAATGATTTCCAAAGCAACTACAGACTGAGAACCAGGACGTCCTTATTTAGCTTAGGAAAGAGGGGTAAGTTCTGAAGATTGGCTGTTATTTGACTTTGGTGCTTGAGCCTTAGACCAGGTTTAATCTGGTTGTCATGGAGAAATGTATATCTGTTATATACAAATAGATCTGTCATAATATCCAAATATCAGCAAAGAGATTCCATGATTATACCTGTGTGGCAGAGTAGGGAAAAATGATCTTAAATGCTGGCATCATAATTCTTCTTAGGGAGTATTTCAGCTCAGGTCTTTTAAGAAGTAGGTGGAATTATATGTGCAATAGATTGACTGGGGAGAAAGATGTGAAAGATAAAGCGGAGAGGCACAGGGTAGGCAAGGAGAGCCTTCAGACTGTGATGAAGATCTGATGCCAGTGAAAGGAGACCAGAAGGAAGATTTGCAGGATGAGCTTCAGACTGCAGCATGGGTCAATGGGGAGTCCCTGAGCAAAGCTCCACGGGACTCCTGTAGAGAAGTCCCAAGTCAGGCAAGAATGGCCCACTCTGGTAGCCTCACTGCATACAGTCCCTGGCTGGGAGCAGCTTGACGGAAGCTCAGCCTCATGGGACTGCCACAGTCGAGACAAAGGTCTGGCAGCTGGAGGCTCTTAGTTAACTCTGCTCCTGCAGCAGCTTCCCCTGAAGGGAGCTCAGAGGGGTGTACCTCCATGCCTGCATGTTTCAGAAAATTATCTTTTTATAAAAATACCAAGAGTTGCTGATTTGGAGTAGAGAGTGAGACCTTGAGGCATGAGCTCATCAGAGAAAAGGAAGTAAAAGAGAGATAAAATTTTCACCTTGATAGGATCAGAAAATTTGAGGTTATGATTCAAGAATAAAGGAGAAGGCAGCTGAACAATACGGCAGGAAATGGCTATGGGACTTTTACAGAGCTGGCTAACATTCAGAGTTAAGTTTTTCATGTCCTGATATAAATCCTCTTTGTCACTCCAAACCTTCAATAAAATCTGACATATGTACAAACTCCTCATGGGAGTGTGTGTATGTAAATCAAGGAAAAAGTTCGAGTTCTATCTCTGTGTCAACAAGATACAAAACAGGGATGTTGTGCACAGAAAAGAAAGACAATCCATAAGTGAATTAATTCTGTAGAAACAGGAGTTCAGAGCCAGGGTGGTCTCTAGAGAGCATAATCTCCCAGGAATTCAAAGAAACCTTGAGGAGGGCACTGGAAATTCCACAGATTGTGCAATGAGGGCATTGGATCAGTCTTGTCCAGCTCTTCTGGAGTCCATAAAGATTGGCTGTGACTGCAAGGCCTTCGTGCTTAGCCGCTGTCGATGCACAAACATGTATGGAGATGTGAAACAGTGCTAAGAAGAGAGAAGAGAAGCCAGGAAATGATACTGCTCTCCAGGGTTCCCCTGCCTCTCTGGGCCCTGTCTAGGCAATTTTTAGTATAATCTTGTTAGTATCTCTGTTCTCTCTCTGTGTACCTCTTCTACAGCATATAATGGCTTCCATGGTCTACAAATAGAACCCCACTCTTCAGACTGGGCTGGAAAGAAATTGCATAATCTGTAAATACTATATTTTTCCCCATTCTGCAAACAAGTCCTTTGTTTGAAATCCAGCTGGTCTATTAGCATTACCCCCATAACCAACCACCTGTCTCAGACCTGGATTGCCTTCTTTTTACATTTATCCCACTTTCACCTGGTGTCTTGAAGCTTTCCTGAATCAATAATTCCAATAATCATCATCTCTGTATGAATTTCTATGTATTTATCTATCTATCTGTCTATCTATCATCTATCTATCCTTTCACATTATCTTATCAGATCTTTGAGAAGACCCAGTAAAGAAGGCTGGACACGTGCTATTTTGCCACCATTTACAGAAGAAGATATTGAGATTTGGAGAGGATTGCATAAAGTCACAGAGGCAGTGAGATCATTTGAATCCGGATATCTTTTGCTCCAAAGTCCCCCTTCTTTCCATTGTGCTACTTTTCTAAGGTTCCCTCCATGTAGGTGACTTCCATGAGTCAGTGACTCTAGAAGTCACAAGTATGTTTTAAGCAATGGCAGTATCATTTTGGAATCCCCCAGAAGTGGACCCTGAGACAAAAATTGGAGTGCAAGTAGTTTATGTTGGGAGGTGAAAGAGGCCCAGGAGGGGAATGGGGAAGTGAGACAGGGGGTGGGGAGGGGGGCGGGGGGAGGGGGAGGCAGCCATCAAGTCTATGAAATCAAGCCAGCGAGGACTGTGGTGACGGGAGCTTAACCCTTTAATCCCTCTGGGGAGACTCCAGGAGCCTGTATAGGACCCACGGCCAAGTCATCCCACCTGGAGGCGAGGGAGCTGGAGTGTGCCTGAGCTCCAGTCAGCATTTGGTGGAGAGCTGCTCCCACTGAGGGTTTTTCTGGAGTACTTCTAGCCAGTTGGACGGCAAAGCTGGCTCAGGTAGCAAGAGAAAGCCCTCAAGGACAGAAACACAAATGCTGGCAGTTGGCAATAGGGCCTGTGTGCACTGAAGGGTTGTTCCTCCTTCCCGGTCCTCCAAGCTCTAGTGAGATGAGCTTACTGCAATGAAGTCACCACTGAGAAGTATTGGGAGAATGCCAGGACAGTAAGAAGTATGGCATTTTGCATTTATTAGCTTGTGTTTCAGGGTAGCTAAATAAATGGTAACGCTGCCTGGATAACCCTTTTAATGGGATTGTCCCTTCTGCTGTTGTAAAAAATTCTTCCATCTAAACCCACTGATTCTTGGATAATGGAAAGGAGTGACCCTGCTGTCAACACTTATAATGAGAAAACAAAGGACACAGATCATGACAAGACCTTGGTCAGGGTGTAGCTTGTCAGAGGTCATGTTTTTGTTCATTATAAAGAGAAATATAATAATATGTTTAGAAATTAAAGGGCTTACATTTTCAAATCCTCCACAAAGAGATGAAATCTTATTGTTTATTAACATGCTAGTCATTTATTAAATTTAAAAAGTTAAACATCAAACCACTAGGAAATTAAATTGAATAATGAATTCTTGTATCAGTGGAGAAGCACTGTGATGGAAAAAATGTATTCAGCATTTAAAAAAAATTTTTTTTGGAAAAGTGAGCACTAAGGATTTGCCACTAGAGATTAAATGTTTTCCAAAACTGTGGGATTTTTATTTCAGTTGTTCCAGTGTTATCTGTCTTGCCTCCAGTCTTTCTAGTCTAACTCTCAAAACTAAGAACAAAGGCAGCATGTATGGAGACAATAGGACACTTTGGAGCCAAAGTGTCATGAGAGCAGGCCAGGATGGGACAGGACAAAAGGCGCATTTGCTCTCATTTGCTATGGCTCATCCAGCTCTTGCCGCCTTCCCAGCAGGACCATCATTTTAAGGCATGACAGACGGTAATTTTTGGTTGCTTTAGATTCTGCTGGTCATATCAGTATGACCAAAGTAAGAAATAGGCCAGTTTTTCTCACAGAGTTGCACACTCAGAATGTTCCCTGCAAATTCACTAGTAAACTGGCATATTTATCAAGAATAGAAACTCCCTAAAAATTATCTAAAAGCAATTCTTGGCCTGACCCTCTTCATTTCTAGACACAGATCCACTTTTAGACCATAAACAAGCCCTTATATTTTCATATTCCTCTAGAGCACTGGAAGTATTCCCATTTAGGATTATCATTTAATCTTGATAGTAAACCTCCAAGGTCAACAGTGGATATTATCAATATCCTCCTTTAGGCGATGAAACTGTGGTTCCAAGAGATTAATTAATACGTCCAAGATTTCAAAAGCTATCTACACTCCATTCCCCCCTTGTACTGCTAATTTTGCTATTTTTTCTTCTCTAATATAATAAAGATACAAAAGGAAAATATAAAGTCATAGCTTTGAATTGTACACTTTCAAATGAAGTCTTACCTCTTTGGAACATTTTCTTCCCTTTTATTAACCCAAATATCAGGAAGCTTTCAGTTACCAAGGAAAAGGTAAAGACATATAAAGAGGGAAAGACACATTCTCTGCCCATCAGAGACTTTCAATCTAACAGACGAGAAAGTAGCAGATAGCTTCTTGGAGGGCAAGAAGGTAACATGGAGGGCCTGTGTCTCTGGTGATCTTCTTTCTCTACAATACTCTGCATGACACTCTGTTTAGAGCACTATAGTTGTGTTGCATAATGACAGGGATACGTTCTGAGAAATCATTAGATGATTCTGTTGTTGTGTGAACATCATAGGGTGTACTTATGCAAATCTAGACGGTATAGCCTACTACACACCCTAGGCTACATGGTACTGATCTTAATGGGACCACTGTCATATATGCAATCCGTCATTGACTAAGATGTTGTTATGTGCTGTGTGACTAGAATGTACTCGAATGACTTAGAACCAGTAGGATTAAAAGGGATAGTACATAGTCCAATATCTCTCGTGTCTCATTCCAAATTTTCTTGCAGTAGATGACTTCTGGGAAACATTGGAAAGGATCCCAAAGACTGGTGCAACCAGAACAGTTATTGTTAGGTTTTCCTTATGTGTCCTTTTATATTCTTTTAATTATTACTTTTTGCTTGTTTCTCTTAGGCTCTGAAGCACAAAAATGCAGAAACCAAATGTGACCAATATAAGGGCTTAATGAGTGCTGAAGAAGGCAAGACTAATTCCTAGTCATACTCCCACCATTACAGCCTGTTTCCAGCATTTCAAAAACAGTTCCACACTATTTACTCATATTCAAATTAACTATTAACCCAGGTTTTTTTTTTTAATATTGTGCTCCAGGTATCTCATGAATTGCAAAACATTCCTTAATTGATACAGTGTTTGGGCAGTATTTATACCTACCCTGACTTTCTCCTGATTATGTTTGTTTGAACTTATTAGTCCTAAGGCATATTGCATTGTTTCCCCCTATTCTGCTTTTTCCTGGCATTGATAAATTTGTTCTTTCAGTTTCAAGGCCACCCTAAAATGTATTCCATATTCCCTGATGTTTGTGACTGCTCAGCTTTTTGTCTTCATGATTCTAAAGAGAACATTTTCAAATCCATCATTGGTCAATGATGGCTATTAAAATAGTGCTAAGCTCAAGGCTGACTGATGTCCACTATCACTTCAGGTGTTCCCTCTCAGTTTCTCAGATTGGTGATAAGTTATTTAGAAGCCACCCTTTCAACAGTGCCAAAAGTTGCAAATGGTATGCTGCTGTTTCTTGAAAATTCATGATTTTGAAAAACAAAGAAACAGAAGATGACAGTAGTAACATTCACTGGAGAAGTAGGCCCCCTGCAGCCAGCCTTGGAGATCCAGATCTTCTGGGCAGCCAGTAACTAATTCTTACCTCAGGGTAGGGGTAGTGTTGGTCTTGGCTTTCTGGCTGTAGCTCATACTGTAGCCTTTCAGGGCTTAAGCAGAGCCATTTTGCTATAAATTTAGACATAATTTAACGAGTTCAGTTATCTAGTTTCCTAGATCATCTGAGTAGAAACACAGAAGCAGCAAGTTAGAACAGAAGAAACAAGCTCACAGTAGCAAGTAGTGACAGTTAAAAAGCGGGAAAGGACAACAGTGGAGACTAGAAAGCTAACATAAGAACCTAAAAAGCAAAGTAGCCTGGGCCCATTAGCAGAAAAGCAGATGACTACTTCTGTAATCCTTGCAGCCCTTGAGCTGAGACTACCAGAAGGAGAGAAGAGAAAGAAGAAAAAAATATTTGAAGAACAGAATGCTGAAAGTCAAAGGCAAGGAGAAAATCTTGAAAAAAGCGAGAGAAAAATGTCATTTACAAGGGAGCTCAATATGATTAACAGTTGACTTCTCATCAGGAACAATGAAAGCCAGAAGGCAGTGGAAAAACATTCAAAACGCTCCAAGAAAAATACTGTCAACCAAGAATCCTATATCCAGCACAGCTATCTTTAAAACAAGAAGGCGAAATACTTTCCCAGATAAACAGAAACTGAGAGAATTTGTTGCTAGCCAACTCATGTCACAAACAAATACTAAGTTCTACAGGTTGAAAGAAAGTTATCCTGGACAGTAATATGAATCCACATAAACAAAGAACACTGGTAAAGGTAATTATGTAACTATAAATGCATATTTTTCTTTCTTGACTGACAAAAAGCAATTTCATAAAATATGAATATAATGTATTGTTGAGCCTATGACATATAGAAATGTAACATATGTGTAATATATTCGCCAACAGCAGCACAAAAGAGGTGAATGTAAGCAATGCTGTGATGCACTAGAGAAATGACTACAGACAATAGAGTAATATTTATAACAATGCATTGATGCATTTGTAACATTAACAGATGTAATATGTAGGCACTGCCTAGAAAATGCTTTAGACATGGTACTCAATGAGAGCAAGTTTCAGATAATACTATGCAATTTGTTACACTCATTGCCCAAACTTCCCCCTCCCCAAAAAATATCACCCAAATATAATAAATATAAGGAATCCTAATCTTCTGGCTACTTTTATTTGCTGCTCTGACAGCCAGGCTCAAAACGTATTGGAGCTGCTTCTCCTTGGTCTGTACTGGGATCCTATGATTTCAGAAGCCGAGTTAAAAAGAGCTAGTTTCTGACACTGAAAATAAAAACTAGATTTTTTTCCTTCTTTCTCAATCATAAAAAATAACATAGCAACATAAAAGATACTATTCCAAAAAAAAAAAAAGAAAAAACTTGCCCATAATCCTATTACCTCAACACAATCATTTTTTATCGTGTTTATTCCCTTCTAATTTAGCAAGTTTAAATATCACTCTTGATGGCATCCCGTGTATTCAGGGATATACAAGCTATTTTCTTGTCTCTCTCTCCCACCTCCCCATTCTATTTTCTAGTGGTGGACTTGGAAGGCTTGGAACCCAGACTTCCAGATTCAAAAGAGCTAGGAAAAAAAAAGAAGGTGAAATCTCAAACTTTGGTGAAGTGATATACATGGAATCTGACTTTACCAAAGTTTTAAACCTGAATTTATTTACACAATTTGAAAGCAAGTGTTAAAATACAAACACAAGTTTCACCTAAGATTTATAATGTAAAATGTTAATTAAAAGTTTGGATTTACAGTCTATGAATATACCACACTTTGCAGATAATTTGGAAAAGAGCAGTACACTTTAAATTTTTGACATCCGTATATCCATAAACTTACCCACTACCCTCCTTACCTCCCCAATTTAGTGTACTGCCTTAAGCAGTAATTTTGGGGAAAAAATTCAACTCTGAATTAATCAAGTAGCATAATAGCTGAAATTTACATTTTATGAGCAGACACAAAATATCACAAATTATTTAAAAACAGCATTTCCTTTTTTTCAATATAAGGATTTCATTTCTTTTTTTTCTTCTTTTAATTAATTTTTTTGAGGAAGATTAGCCCTGAGCTAACATCTGCTGCCAATCCTCTTCTTTGCTGAGGAAGACTGGCCCTGAGCTAACATCGGTGCCCATCTTTCTCTACTTTATAGGTGGAAGCCCTGCCACAGCATGTCTTGCCAAGCGGTATGCAGGTCTGCACACAGGATCCAAACTGGCAAACCCTGGGCCGCCAAAGTGGAATGTGCAAACTTAACTGCTGCACCACTGGGCTAGCCCCAGGATTTCATTTCTTAAAGCATACTATTAAAACTTTTTTCTGGAAATGTTATAATAGTATTATGCAAGTTCAGTACATGACCTACAAGAGGAAATAAGGAGAGGGAGTAAAATAATTTCAAGTCCTTCTGGCTTCTAATCAAAGAATCAGTTTAACAGCTTTTAGCTCCTATTTCAATATTTATGAAAACTCTGAGCTTTATTTCCTGTTTTTTTTTAAAATTCTAATGTCAAGTGGGTTATTTCCAGGCTAAAGGTATTTGGTTCCTTCATTAGTATTTGCTCATTCAACTATTCAGTCAGAGGCATAATTCATTTGGAGATGTAGTGGCAGACAAATGTCTTGTCTCCATTCTGCAAATTATAACTCAGGACACAATCATATGCATAGTGCCTTTTTGGTTACTGGACATTTGGGGGTGTACATTATTATAAGATTGCAACATGCTATCATGGTACATGAATATATTGCCAGTTTTAAACCAAAGCAACAAACTAAAAGGCATCCATCACCAATTAGTAATAACTGCTTTGATACTGTTTTCAATGTAATTGCTTATTGTCAGCATGTCGTAATTTGTAGTAAATATGCTGCTGAAATAAGCACTTGATTGTTTATTCATGTGACTATAGTTACCATCTTCACTAGGTTTTAACATGACTAAATAGCTGTTACTGAGCCTAGTAAAATGGATTAGTGTTAAATACTTACTTTAAATATACAGATCACTAATTTGAGAAATGTGAAAGGCATCAATTTACCATTCAATGAATAACCAGCTGATAAGGAGGAATCTAGGAGCCATTTAAAAAATAAAATCATGATTAACATTGGAGAGCAAATAAGTTTATGTTGTATTATAGTTCCAAAGCATCACTGGTACATTAGTCTAGATAAATTTGGTGAAGAGAAGATGAGAGTACAACTGTTGACGATTAGATTGTAGACCTTGGGAAAGTCACCTTCTCTTATTTGGGTCTGTTTCCTAACCTGTAAAATGAAGGGATTACACTACAGCTTTTCTAAAGTTTTTAAGATTTATGAGTTTATCTGGCTTTCCTTTCTTAAAGTTAGGAACACCCATATATTTATGGAAATCATCAAGGAAAAAACTACTGTGAGATATATTCTTAGGTAGGATGTAGGACTGGTAAAATCTGAGTAAGTTAGAAGTTTGGAAAAATGTGAAGATGATAAACCAATCTAAAGTTCTCATCATGCTTTTTGTACTTCTAAGATACAGCAGGAGTCACGTACACTGCTCACCATTTTCCCAGGCCTAGTGTTACTATCCAAACTGCATCATGTTGGCATGCACCAAGTATTCAAATAAGTTACCTGGGGCTACTCTTGCCGAGCTTAAAAATCGATATGGGTCATTACATGAGAGTGCAGCTGAGAGATTTTTACATTACATTAGAAGTGTAAGGGACAATCAATCAGTTCCATCTCTTCATTTCTAGTGAGGAAACTGGTCCTGAAAAGTGACCTGCATAGGTCACAGATCTAATTAGCGCCAGTTGAGGAGAGCCCAGATCTGATTGCCAATTCAATTCTTTTACATTATTCTGTCTTCTAGATGCAATGTTCTGAGCAAGGAGAAATCTAAATGGAATATAAAATTTTAGAGGGACCTTACACAAGGTCTATCTAGTTCAACTTCTCATTAAATATGGAATTTCTTCTGTAGTGCTGTGACAGATGTCTTTCAGCTTTCTGCAGCTCCAGGGGTAAGATACTCACTAGTCCTTAGGAGGCAAGACCTTTCCTTGATGGACCAATAAGCATAAAGTTCCTTCTTACACCAAGCTCTACTCTGCCATTTTGCAACTTTCACCTAGTTCTGAGAATCAAAGAGAATAAACTGTACATGCCTCTCCAATATTTGAAGACAGCTATCATTCCATAGTCACAAAATCCTTCCATCAGTCTTTGGGTTTCAGTTTATGGGATTCTTTCCAAGTTGGTAAAACATCTCAGGATTTGCTCTAATTTGTGAATATCCTTTCACTGCATCCTGAAATCAAATTAATATTGCAGATGTGGTTTGGCCAGCACTTTGTCTATGACATTATTTCCCCATAATGACTTTTTCAGCATCTTAAGATTACATCAATTGCTAAACAGTTGGCTCACGTGTTACTTCTAGCAAGCTATGAAATCTCCAGATTTTTCTCATCCATAAATTCTTGACAAATGCAGTTTCATATTTCTATCACTGACTTTCTATTCTTTTTAGGATAATGATCAGGGTCCATGATTCCATGCATGATTGTGCCCCTGACTAGCTTGTCAACCTCATTCTTTTTTTTTCCCCCTCCCCAAAGCCCCAGTACCTAGTTGTATATTTTCGTTCTAAGTACTTTTAGTTTCTTTATGTGAGCTGCCACTACAGCATGGCTGCTGACAGACAAGTGGTGTGGTTCTGTGCCCAGGAACCCAACCTGGGCCACCAAAGTGGAGCGTGCCGAACTTTAACCACTAGGCCATCAGGGCCGGCTCGCCGATCTCACTCTTACGCTGTCCTTTCCACTTGACCTCTGGCCAGTCTTCTTACATTTCAAATGTATCATCTTTCCTCGAGGCTTCCACATAATGTTCCACTCAGCCAGGATGTTTCTCCTGGGCCACCCAGGTCTAGTAATTTGTCATCCTTAAAACTCAGTTTAAATATCACTTTATCCTGGAACTCTCCCTTGCCCTTCTCCCCACGGTCCCCTCCCAAAAGTACCTTTTTACCTTTTATAACATCCTACAAATCCTCTTCAGCCCTTATCTAAATAGCAATATTTGTGCAATGAGGTGTCTGTCTCCTCAGCTACACTGTGAAGTCTCTGAAGAAATGGTCAACGTCTATCTTTATCTAGCATAGGGTTTTGCATGATTTAGACCTTCAATAAATATTTGTTAAGTGAATATGGAATTAGTATGATCAATATATTGATTTTCTCAGGTAAACAAAGAAAACACTTAGCTAAATTCTAGGGTGCAAGTTGGCCAAAGAAGAAAGTGCATAGGCTCAAAGATAATATTGAAGAGGAAAAACTTCTCCAAAAGAAGAAAGTGATGATAAAATTTAGAAAACCATAGAACTCTGTTCTATAAAGATGAATGGTAATTTTTTTTCAGTCTTTATAGGAGAGGGTGGGGAGAATGGAAGAAGGCAAACAAGCACAGCTGAGTGGTATATTTGTTGTTTTACTGTTAATTTGACACATCTGAACCAAAGCATTCACAATACTTGATATACTTTGAAGAGAATCATATACTATAGTCTTAGACATAACCACAGAACAAGCAGAACAATTAAAACTACATAAGGCCTTAAAATATATCCACAGTGTGTATTATTTCAATATTCATTCATTTACAAATTAGACTACATACCGTTAATTTTATTTTTATTTTTCTTTCATTGTTTTATTCAGGCAGGATTCATTCAAGGAAAGGCAACTTAGTTTTTGAGTGAGCTTTATTTTTTACTACATTGGTTAATATAAAAGTTATGAATTAAATGTTTTCTTATCTCCTGCATCCAGGAGTGAATCTATGAAATTCTCAGATAGTAATCCAAAACAATAGGTCCTATTCTTAAAAACAGCCAAAGTGAAAAGGGACCAAATAGCCAGTCTGTTTGTGGTCTTGAAGAACATCTAATGGACTTTCAGATTTTCTTATTATGAAGAGTACTTCAATTCTATGAGATTAGTCAAAATTTAAAACAACATTGCATATGAAATCATTCTCAAAGCTCTAAATGCCTTTTAAGTAACTAAAATGAACATTTTAAGTAGTTGCCTCACAGTACCAAACTTATAAATCAAAACTAGTTAAAATTCAGTGCTATCATGACTTCTCATTTACAAGGTAACTAGTTGGTAAATTAACAGATGGTGTAGAAATTAAAGACTTAATTATTTTAAAGGAGAAAGTGTATGGTAACGAGGGAATACAGAAAATTCAATGTATTTTACAATAAAATAACCATTTAAACCTCTATCCCTGTACAACAGGGTTTAGGTCATCTCTATGAACTTGCGTATTTTCTTACAATTTATTCTGAGTACTTGAATTGTTTTTGATATACAGCTTTTTATTGAAAGAATATTACATTTGTATACCAGGATAAGATTTAGTACATTGAGATGTTTTAAAAATATTTATAAATTTGTTTCTGATATGCAAAAGCATTTAGCAATACTTTTACAGCATTTGATTTTATAGAATTAAAATTTCATACAGTACTCATTTTGATGTTTAAAAAAAAAATTCACAGAAAAAATATAAATTACACAGCCTGACTGCATGATACTGTTATTTCCAGTTTCTAGTTCTGGTAATTAAAACCTTCATTAAGTCTGTTAACAAATCATTACCTGTACATTTATGAAGGCAACTGACATGATTTGCAAACAAAACCTTCAGGTTTTATGTTATTTACCAAAGAGTGCAGTTCAGCAAGAAAAGAAAACCCAGTATGCAAATTTACAGAATATTTTACAAATTTACCAGTTCCTGTGACACAAACTGTTTCAACCTTTCAAGGTACTGTCCATAAAGTTCCACATCATTGTGACCTGCCCCTTCAACCCACAGAGGCTCCACAGGTCTTTGGCAACGCTCAAACAATGCGAGGCCATGTGAAAAGTCAATGACTTCATCTTCAGTCCCATGAATTATTAATACTGGAGAGGTTATCTTAGAGATTTTGTCAATGCTGTAGGGAAAAAAGGGGGAAAGTCAATAAATTAACTATGAAAAGGAATGCAAAACAAATTTTCTTGTGCTTCATCAGAGAATTCAAACATCAGAACTGTCTGCCTTGAATCAATCCAGAATGAACAGATGCCTCTTGGACTTCAAATAAGATTCAAAAGTGACCTTTATATACTCTCTACCTTAAGACGATTTGAGGAAGTTACCTTCTGTTTTGAGGGAATCACTCAATGGTTACTGTCACCCTACTGCAATGCTGACGTTTAGCCCAGAGAAACTCAGGTTGCAAGGAGAGGAGGCAACTAAGGACCATTTCAAGTATGTGCTAACTTCACACCTCTCTGCACTCATTGTATTTTTCTCCCCGTCCTAATCTCCTACTAAAATGACCGCAAAACTTTTGTTTGTTTGTTTTAGAGTATTAACTCACAAAAATAGGGGTAATGTAATAAAACGTACCAAAATTTTGGAGCTGGAAAGCAGAAGAATGTGTAAGATAACAGACTAAAAGTATAGGAGAAAACACAATTTTAAGAGGACAGGATGTAAAGAAAAGAACCAACCCAATTTATTCCACGGAATACCTCAGAGGGCTAGGAACTGACATGGGAATGAAGGCATGTGACTGGAATCCACAGAATTTGTTCAAAGTCTGCTTAAGAAATAGTTTAGACCCCCTTCCCACAGGATCTTTCCCCTTCTTTATGCAGCTAGACAACTGCGCTCCACTCAAAACTGGCAGCTTTGTGGACTATGGGATTGCCAGACACAGTTTCAGGCAGAGGTGTCATAGAGACTAAGTAAACATAAACATACTGGCTGCTATGAACCCATTTTCCCTATTGGGCTCTCAGAATGCTGGCGGCCAGGCCTTCATCCTCCAAGCGGGAGTTTTATAAAGAGTATTCTTTGGAGACTGTATCCATATAAGAGGAAAGATATGTAAATGCTGACATGGTGCGGTGGGGATTCCCAACTAATTGGCTTGACTAGATCACTCTATGATAAAGCTCACAGTCAACAAGCCTTAAATAGCTGCTTCACATCAGCTCTTTAGTCTCTCACTTGTATGCATATATGAGCAAACAACCAAGAATTATCAGAAGTCAGAGAACACTTTAAATATAAGACAGAGACAGAGCAAAACAATCAGAATTCAAAAAGACAATTCAGAGGAGACAGTAACTACCCAGAGAAGAAACCTTACAAGTAAACAAACAATTCTTTAAAAAAATTCTTAGAAATAAAGAGATAAGGTATTATAACCATAAAATGAGGATAGAATCTTGAAAAGGAGGAAAATCATCAATGAGAGAATTCAAGCCTGCATCTGGTAAGGAAAAAACGCTTGGGTATATTATTTGTTGTCAAATGTTCAGTAGTAGAGGAATTAACAAAATTTTTGTAACAACAACAAAGAAAAGGAATGTATGATCTTTTTAAAACAGGTTACTGCTAGTGCTGCCCTCCTCTTGGTGCAGCAGAAATGAGAGAGAGAGCTAGAAGAGATACAAGTTGGCAGTAGCATTACCACAAATACCTCCTTATCATTCCCACCATTCAGCTAGACAGAAGCAGTATAATTAACGCATATACCTTCCAGTCTACCATTATCTAAAGCAAAACCCCCAAATAAATGTAAAAACCAAAACCTCCCACAGCCTGCTCTGGTTACGCTCCCATAAGCTTCCCTACAAAAATGATCCCGTACTAGCTAATGATGAAAAACATTGTTTTTGAAATGACTCTTGCAGTTGTTATAAAGAACCAAGTGATGACTTGGCTTTTGGCCTATCTATCATTCACAAAAAATCCTTTGTATTGCTGCCAATTAGGGAAAGAAAGGAGACCGAAATTTGCCAGCTTCTCACTTCTTGCATTCTCTCTTTCTTTGAGAAAAACAGGCCATCAAATTTTTCCAGCTATGAAGAGGAGCTGGTAGGAACTACCCTCCTGTCTTGAGAAGTATGAGAAGTAGCTTTTCTTTCAAATCTGTCTAACACTGTATGTTTATAAACTTTGGGGTGGCAATACTTATTCTATTTCATTTAAGACAACTTCTTTGTAATTCACTCCTTTTGTGAATCAGATAGCATCAATTAGACATCCTTCACTCATTTTTATGCATGTGTCTCGTTTTCCCTCAACTTGCTCCTCTCCTCCATGGTTATATGTCTTGCTGAATGGTACCATCATCCATTAGCAGCTCAAGTCAGAAACCTGTATTCAAATCTTTTGTTTAGCATCCTATATCCAGTTTGATACTCAGTTCTCTAAATTTTATTTCTCAAATTCATTCTCTTTTCTCCATTACTAGTGTCAATGCCTGGGGTATAAGGCCCCCTTCAGCACTTTTCACCTGGATTACTATTGCTCAAACATTTCAGCCTCCTGACAGGTGGCCTGCCACCACCCTCTTCAAAATTAACTTTTCATAATTTCTATAACATGTAACAGAAGCTCATAGCTGAGTTAACTGTATCATGAATACCTTAAGTGATGGAAAAAAAATTCCCTCAAATGTTTCTTTGAATTAAACTATTTTGAATATTAATACTTACTTTGGGAATGCATCAAAACAGTAGGTCTTCTTGGTATCAGGAAAAGCAACTCGCATTCCCGAGGTCAAAGGAGAATGAAGGATAACAGCAGCACTCTCATACCGCGCGGCAAGATCCACAGACGGTACGGTCCCTATGCTTTGGCCATATATAATCACATTTTCAGGGCGAATGCCGTATCTACAAAGTTCAGAAGTTTAAAAAGAAAGAGTTGGACAGTTGGAAGCTATGAAATATTCAATCATTTCCAAGGATTTAATCTTATCACAGAATGACAACATGACAAAATGTCAACAAACTTACATTTAAAGCTTAAGTTTCTTAGTTATCACTATCATATCTAAAGCAACAGTAAGATCTATATTCTTAGCTTATTTTATCTTTCAGTTTCATCCTTTGAAAAATAATTGCTGAGGTCTTCTAAAATTTCAACCTTAAGAAATGAATTTATTAAAGCACCTATACAATTCAATGTAGCATTTTCTTTTTAAAAGATTGGCACCTGAGCTAACATCTGTTGCCAATCTTCTTTTTTTTTCCCCCTGGTTTTTCTCCCCAAATTCCCCCAGTACATAGTTGTACATTTTACTTGTGGGTCCTTCTATTTGTGGCATGTGGGACGCTGCCTCAGCATGGCCTGATGAATGGTGCCATGTCTGCACCCAGGATCTGAACCAGTGAAACCCTGGGCCACCGAAGTGGAGCGTGCGAACTTAACCACTTGGCCACGGCGCCGGCCTCAATGTAGCATATTTTTTACTACATTTGGAACACATTATATCATTAATATTTCAATGGATTGATGTTTAACGGATATTTAGTGTTTATTTTACATTCAATATAACAAAAGTTCTTTATTTCTCTAGACATCAAAAGTGACTCATTTTATTTTCTGAAGTTGGTCATAGTGATGAAAATACTACATATAGTTACAGTACGGAATGAATAAAATATATGCAGCATCTTAGCCAAGAAGAAATTACTATTTTTCTTGAAATTTGCCTTTACTTACTCATAGAAATGGATTAATGACTGAAAAGATAAAGAGATGAATGAAGATTCCAAAAGCCATATGGTTCAGTTAATTATGAACAGACATCATGCTAAAATCTCAACAGCATGCTTTACTCACTTAAAAAATGCTTCAAATTTAAATGTGTGAACTCATTCACTCAGTAATATTGGGTACATACTATGTTCCCGCCACTGTTACTTGTCTACAGTGTAGTTGTCCCAAATATAAACTACTGCAAGTGTAAGTAAGGTGCCTCAGGAGCTAATGGGGTTAAGGGTTAGAGTGACATCAAATACGCCTTTCCACTTTAGAAGTCTCACAGCAGTCACTTCTGGCTGCTAAGGGCCATCTGCACAACAGCTTCTAGTCGTTTGAGAAGTTAATAGAGTTTTCCAAGTATCTGAACATTTACCAGGAAGAGCAAGACAAGCCCCATGTGCTCCTTATGGCCCTTTCCAGGGGCACAGGACTATTTGAACCATCCAGATAGTGACATACCACCCCACAGTTTCTTTCAGTCAGGCCTACACAAGCATTTGGATACGTCCCCAAGGTACGGTTCCATCTACTCCACACTGACTCTAAATTAGAAAAGCTGTTTTCTTTACAATAGACCTAGGTGTACACACTTAACAGGAATGAAGAAATTCTGAAAATGAACTTTAGTAGAATCACCCTAACTCCTCCAGCTGCACGGTTTCTGTTAGCTGAATAGCAGCACTGTTGGTGGTATCGATGGGTTTTAGGCTAAAGCTAGCAATGGCAAGGCTCCAGAGTAGCAGGGGCAGCTGCCAATTTAATATCAGGTCTCAAAAGCAATAACAGAGTTTCAGAATAGTACAAGTTAGAAAGGACTTTAGAGACCATCTAATCTAGTTCAGCTGCTTAGTGAGCAGATGTTCAAAGTAGAGTAAGTTAGTGACAGACCTATAATTAGAACTCAGGTATCCTGACTCCCAGTCCAGTGCCTTTTCCATTATAGCACACAGATAATGAACTCAAAGACTGTAGGGGAAGGCTGCATAGTGACTATTAGTCTCTTATTTTCTGTTGATTGATCAGAATTTAAAAAACAGGTTATTATAGATATTCAATTATCCTGAAAAGGAGATCATTCAAATAATAATAAAGTTCACTACTTTTCCCTTCCTGGTTACTTAAGCCCTAACTTTTCACTTTAACCAAGTAAAGAAAATAATAGGCATGAATTCTAATTGCACACATTTTATTAGATGATAGAATTCTACACTAGTCATCAAATATTTAAAAAGATTAACTAATCAAGACTAGAAATCATTTTAGAAAGTTTCCTTCAAATTGATATCTAACAAGATTAAAAAATAATAATAATGATAAAGCTGACCACTTGCAAGAGGGGATTTTTTTACATAAACATAGAACACTGAACTACATACTAACGCTTTATTTGAATAAAGTTATCTTTTTGTGTTACTTAGAAGCACTAATAATGAAAGCTATCTGCTTTAACTTATTAGCATCCTTAAAAACTATACTAATCCACTGAAGTTATACTTTAAAAGAATGAATTATGGTATGTGAATTATATCTCAATAAATCTGTTATTAAAAAAATATCCTACTTTCCTGACAGTTACTACACTACATTCATCTGGCTGACTCTGAAAAGCAGGCACTCACGTTTCTTTGTCTGTAGGCCTGAGGGGACTGACATCAGTATACCTGAAGCAGATTTTGACTGTTCATTTAAGGTAGTTTTTAAGTTTATACATTTTTACCACCCTCCCCTCCCCAACAAGTTCCTTATCTACCACTTATACTACTACCATCTATTTTTTCTTACTCACCAGATAGATGTTTTTGTATCATTTCAAGTGATCTACAAATCCCCTTTATATAGAACTTTGCTATGAGAGTATAGCTTTATTATATATCTTGGAGGAGTAAATGTTTCTAAAGACATTTTTTAAAAAGGTTATGCCTATAACAAAATTGAGGAGGTTCTGCCTAACTAACTGAAACTACTAATATTTAAACATTAAATTAGGAACAGTAGGTTTTCTTTACGTCCTCTAGCTTTAGTCTAAAATACTCTGGAAGTCATGCAGCTTATCAATGTATAATATGCAGAATAATTTGTACTAAGATATCTATTTATTGTACATTGTCTCATGAAAAAATACACTCAAGTCTACAAAACTGCAATACTTTTCAAGAAAAATTTATAGGTATCTTGGTGACTAGAAAAAAATCAATGCAATTTCTGGTTCCCAAAAATGTATTCTCTGTTACAATCAGAGAATAACTGACATAGTAAGAGAATTTACTTAAATGATTTATAACATTATTTTTTTCATCTGAGATCATTCTCCAATTTGATGAGTTCAGAATGCAGAGTAAAATCTCACTTTTACAGAATGAATACTTTAAAAAAAATAGTTCCAATAAGGTATCTTTAAGTCATACCTTCTAAGAGATAATAATATAAAATATAAAAGAACAGACTCTGGCTTAGGATTTCAACAAAAACAATCTAGCCTCTTACATTGTTAATAACAGATCAAGTGAATATTAGCTAAATCATTGTTTACTCTCATTCCCTTGAAATGTTGCAACTTTGAATTATGATTTTTATATCACACTCCAAGAAGTTTATAAAACCAAACATTTATTATTGGCTTAAACTTAAGAAAATCACACACACACATATGCACTAACACAGACACACAAACATGACCTGTCTTAAAAAACCTTCTATACTATTTTACAAAATTTAAGATTACAATTTAAAAATTTAACTCTTCATAGGTATATATTGGTAAATATAATCTCTATTTAGTACTTCAAGAAGTGTTGTAAAGACAGCTTTTATTTTGTTCTTATACAGGACAACTTTAGTTAACGATCACCAGTGTGGAAAATTCCCAATCACCATTTACCTTGTCCTAAGAGCAAGCCAAGCAGCTTCTATGTCTGCATAGAGGTTCTTCTCCGTTGGTTTCCCGGAACTTGCACCATATCCAGAATAATCATATGAGAATATATTACAATTAATCCGTGATCCCAGTCCTATGTAAAAGCTGCTCATCTGACCAAGATCAACAGCATTTCCATGTGAGAAGAGTAAAGTGTATTTGGCATTGGGCGAGCAACGCACAAACATGCAGGCAATTCTGTTGCCTTTACTGGTTCTAGTCATGAAACACTCAATGGCATCTTTTTCTCTAGAAGAGTACTGCCAGTCTGCTCGTTCTGATAGGTGTAAAGTCCAGCGGCTTCCACTTTCATCACACATTAGCGTGTAAGTTGGATCAGGTGGCAAAAACGCTAATTTTGAAGCAATTTTCCCTGGACAAGGTGGACAGCAGAAGAGGCAACATAGCTCACTAAATGAAAGATTATTCATCTTCTGAAAAAGAAAAGGAGATAGCAAATGTTTTAATCACTGAATGTGGATTCTGCATTCTTATACAACACAAGGTTAAAACAAAGACACCACACTTAATTCTACTGGTGGTCATTGTCTACGATTATTTCAAGTATCCTGCCTCAAGCAGATTTTTGGCATCTTTCTAGAAATACTTTAAATCCTGAGGTGAGACAAACATTCCTGACCAGGACAGACTCAAATACTATATGACATGTTTAAATAGTAGTGATTATATCTTATATTTAACCAAAATATGAAAAATAATTCAAAGAGTAGACGTAATATTTGTTATTTCTCCACAAACAACAACATAGGAGTATGCAATATCTTGAGTGTGGTTCGTAATTTCTATGTAACTCAGTGAAGAGTCTCAGAGTCTCAGGGAGAAGCTAGGGATTTACCACGGCACGGCACATGTCTAAGAAGAGCATTTATGAAGCACCCACTATCTGTCAGGCTTGGTGCTAAGTGTTCTCTGTGTACTGCCACGTTTAATCCTCAAAACAAGCCTGTCTCTTAGTCTGAGGAAAGAAACTTGCACAAGGGAAGGCAGTGGTAGAGCCAGGACTGGGCACCAGCTCAACCACTGTCCTCCATCACTGGCCTCCACTGCCTCAAGGGCTCACAACACTATTGGTCTCAGAAGCCTATCATTTTATCCATAGTGCCAGTGGCCCAAATAACCTATAAAACATTAAAATGTAAATAAGTATGTAATTACTGCACAAACTAAAAAAGCTATAATATAAAGTCCATTATGGAAATAAGGTAAAATCTGCTAAAGGTAAAATTTCCCAAATGATTAGATGGGAAGGAGCCTAAGGTTTGGAGTGAGAAGGAGCTGAGGTAGAATCCCAACTGTACCACTTCCTAGCTGTGTGCCCTTGGGCAAATTATTTGCCTTTTTGACCCTCATTGTCTTCCTAAGTAAATGAGGCCAATGCCTACACTGACCACAGCGGTTGTGAAGAATAACTACAACTGATATAGTTAAGGCACATAATACAGTAATGGCCATACAGTTTCAGGGCTGACCCACTTTCTCTTCTGTCTTTTTCATTGATATTGTTAAAGTATGCAGCTCATATTAGCTCAGGAACAAACATAAAGTAATACTTGTCTGCCCTACGGGCATTTCCTTCTAGCTTGTCTTTTCTCAAATTCCTCTCTCTTTTTAGCCGTAGACCATTGCTTATTTCCAGGAAGAAGGCATTCAAAACAAACACCTTCCAGAGGTTTGGTGGCATCTAATTTTCTCCAAAAAATCTAAATACAAGGATAGGAAAAAATGTACATCGTGATACCAAAAATGAGAGGAAATCACCTCACCTTTAGGTTGACTAAAGAGGTGAGACTATTTGGCAAGAAAGAAATGCCTTTTTCCTCACTACTGAATCAAAATCTAGTCTACACCGTGGAATACAAATGTGTTAATTTCCCAGTATAAACTAATCAGATAGAGAAACAAGGGTAGAAGTGACATAAAAGGCTTCAACAGATTAGTAAGGGAAGGGCAGAAAAGTGTCTCTTGGATATTGGGAAACACCTTTACTTGCCATTCTATCTTTATTCTTTTTCAGCCTTCAAAACAAACATAGCCTGAAGAAGTTAATGTCTTAGTCTGGTTGGAACAAGAGTTACATAGAACAGAGATGACAACCAGGTGTCATCTCTAGTGCTAACTCTAACTGGCTCCATTAAGTGTTGTGCTGAGAAGGATTCTGAGGGCATGCCCGAGGCTTGGCAAGCAAAGAATGTGTGATAAATTAGAGATGTATGCTACAGAATTTGGCTACAAATTTATTATCCTGCTCAGAAGGATAAAGGACCTGGTGAAGAAGACAGCAGGGAAGGGAGTTCAAAGGGTCAGTTCCAGAGAAGGAGATGACCTAGAAAAAGAAGATGAGGTAGAAGGTACAATATGTCAAGGCTATCTGTTTAATAATCTGCCTATGTTTATTTCTCGCCCCCAATCTCCTTACATGCCATCAAATGCTGACCCACAACAGCCTATTAAAAACTTGATTAATAAGTAAACTGTATATAGCTAGACCATGGTCCTATAATTTACCTCTTGAAAACCTGAAGACTTCCATATACTATAATAAAGTAATTTTGAAATAAATCTGGCTGACTGAACATATTTAATGCTGCAGAGATGCTTCTGGGGAAGAACACCAAAAGCAAAAAGCAGATGGGAGAAAAGCTGCAGTGCGAGAGTCTAGTCTAATGAAAAGACAACGTGACCTTCTTAATGTTGGCAGAGGAAATTATTCCCACCTCCACCACCTCAAACTCAGAAAACTGGTGTCCATTTAACAACAGAAACTAGCAAATTATTGCTTTCCTAATAACAGGCTTGGTATAGGGCAGCAAACACAAACTTGCTTAAAAAAAGTTACTCTCTCCTTTTCTCTAAGTGTGAAAAAGTATAAATAAAACAGATGAACCTAAGTTTTAGTATGACTAGAGCTGAGCAAGTTATGAGGGAAAACATTTTATTCTCCCCCCGACCAGAGGAAGATTTGCCCTGTGCTCACATCTGTGCCCAGCTTCCTCTATTTTCTATGTGGGTCACCACCAGAGCACGGCCTCTGCAGAGTGGTGTAGGTCTGTGCCTGGGAACTGAATGCGGGACGCCAAAGCAGAGTGCACCAAACTTAACCACTAGGCCACAGAGCTGGCCCCATTTTATTCTTGATAAAAATTTTAAAAATTATTGAAATAACTTGTTAAACTTAAGATAATTTTATGTTCAATTTGTTTTATATAAAACTCACCTGAATAAAAATATACGTTTACTAGTTCTGTCTTGGCAACAAAATTTGAAGAGACAAGGCAGCAAATACTCGTAGGGAAAAAATGATAGACATCTGAGAGTGCCAAAAAACCATAAAAGACAGAGAACAAATTGAATAATTTATACCAGAATTTTTGATCTAGACAAAACAAAAATTTAAAATGTTATAATAAACTTGAAAAAAAAAGAGAGAGAGAATGCTTAAAGATGAAACAGAAAAAAGTGTCAAAGAAAAATTCAACTAGAATCCCTCGTATTGAGATTATCTGACACAAAGAATTAAACTGATGGCTTGGGTACAAGAATTGATAATAGCCAAAGAACACATTAGTGAGCTGGAAGATCAGGTTAAAGAATTCCGAAACGTTAAATTTTTCAGGGAGAGACGGATGTAGAGATAGAAAATATAAAAGGAAAATTTAAGGAGGATAGAAAGAGAAATATCATTATCAATACTATAAGAGTCCCAGGGAAAAAAGTAGAGAGGAGAAAATAAAGATAAGACAATCTAAGAATTTCTCAGAATAAAAGAAAGAAAATTCAGATTGGAATAGCTTAGAGTGACAAACGGTATTTAAGAAAACTGTCAGCTAGACAAGTTACAGTAAATTTTAAAATTGCCAGAAACAAAAATCTGAAAATTTCCAACAGTCACACTACAATCCAGAAGACACTGGAGGGATAGTTTTAAAGTAATGGAAAGATAAGCTTTGAATCTAGAATTTTACATAGAAATAAAATACTATTTTAAAATGAGGATAAAATAAAGATATGTCCAGGCATACAGAAACTCAGAAGGATTACCAAACCAAGACCCTCTCTGAAAAACTCTAGCAAGGAGGAAAATAAATCCAAGAGAATTCTATGAGATATCTGAGACCTGACAAATACAGGAGAGCAGTTAATATAACGTATTTTTTTAATAAGTAAGCAATGGAGAGAAAAAAAACAAAGTATATCTCTAACACTTCAGAATCAAAACTTTGGAGAATACTAATAAAAGAGAGGATTGGAAGAAGAGTTAGGAGTATTTAAGAAGCAAAAATGTGGGGCCAGCCCAGTGGCATAGTGGTTAAGTTCATACTCTGCTTTGGTAGCCCAGAGTTCACAGGTTGGGATCCCAGGTGTGGACCTATACACCGCTCATCAAACCATGCTTTGGTGGCGTCCCACATACAAAATAGAGGAAGACTGGCACAGATGTTAGCTCAGGGCCAATCTTCCTCACCAAAGAAAAAGAAAAGTAGTGAAAATGTGCTGGGGCACTGGTCACTTGACTTGTTCAGAATGATATTAATATTGATAAGCTTAATGCATGGAAGAAAAACATGAATATAAGTATGACTTTTAATAAGTCAGATACAACCATCATAAAAATTACAGCTTGTAGGATACACCTGAAATAGTTCTAGCTATTTATTACAAATGTCTAGCTTTCAATATTTATTATCGTGTTAAAATCAAGGAGTGTAAGCACAAATAAATAAGAAAAAAGAAATTAAAGGCAGATATCAACAAAATAGAGAACAAAAAGCAAAAAAGAAATTAACAGACTCAAAAGCCGATTCTTAGAAAAAGCTTCTATTACTACTAATAGCAACTAGCATTAACTGAGCACTTACTAAGTGTCGAGTACTGTTCTAAAGACTTATCATATATCAACTCATTTAATACTTTCAACAACACTCTGATAGAGAATTATCATTATACCCACTTTGCAATTGAGGAAATAGAGGCACAAAGGTAGTTATGTAACTTGTCAAAGGTCACATAGCTGCTAAGCAGTGGAACTGGTAATTGGCAGAATGACTCTTGGGCCTCAACTCATAACCACTATTTTGTGGATCAGACGAGAATGATCAAGAGAAAGAGATAAGCAAAAATCAAAATACTATTTGGAAAAGACAGACCTACAGACATAGTTTTTAAAAATAAAAAAAGTGTCAATAAATTAAATAATGTGGATGAAATGAATGAATTTCTTGAGTAAATAAAAGGACAACAACAAAAAACAATTAAAAAATGGACAAAGGATTTGAATAGAATTTCTCCAAAGAAGATATACAAATGGCCAATAAGCACATACAAGATGCTCAACATCATTAGTCATTAGGGAAATGCAAATCAAAACCACAGCGATACCCCCTTCATACCCACTAGGATGGCTATAATCAAAAAG